TTACAGCGGTAATGCTTTTAACGAGCCGCTGCATAGCAACGGTAAGGGGATACACATAAACACACAGACTCATTGCATGAATTTAGGGAGTATGCCGTTGAGATTGACTCAGATGCCAAGATATGCATAAGAAGTTTCATAAAGATTGGTTCAGGCATTAAAAAAAATTGATGGGGGGGGGATATACATACACACAGACAGCGTGAAGATAGCATAAACTTAATTTTATTTTTAAAAAATAGGCAAATATTTTCATTTTTTTAATTAGAAAAGCAGGCTAAAAAGACTGGCGTGGATATCAATTTATACGCCAAGAGACGTAAATTAATGACACTCATAGCAACAGCTATGATGGGAAAGGGTGTCTCATGAGGCAATCATCAAAATATATGAGATGATAATTGCAAGTATTAACCACCGGCTTGCGCTCGACGTTTCGTTCACATTACAGTCATTCGAGGCGACAGTGTGTCCATCCGGTAGACAGACAATCCATCATACTGGCGAATTCTAAGAAACGTGTAGGATTTGAGGTCCTCACAGCGGTGGCTATGAAGAGTACTATCTTCTGGGATATAAAGCCATGTAGTCCACCGAAAATCAACCGACGTTTCGGGGGAACACATTGCCTCCATCTTAAAGGTCGAAGAATAAGTCGAGAAAGATAACAGCGTGAACGCAGGTGACAAGCAGATCTAACTTACAAAGACAAAAACAACACCGTCCACTGTGACTATTTAAGTTTTATCACTTGAAAACTCATCACCCTTACATGTTTCGATCCTTACGGATTATCCTCAGAGGGCATCTATACTTTTTCCGGAAACTGCTATTACAATAGGTGTTAAATTATATACATACACATATATAATGTCTGAAATACACAATGTTCAACTTTTCACAGTCACAGCAGCCCTCCTGGTATTAAAATTTTTAGTTTTTTTTAAAACCTTAAAAATTTTAATACTGTGAAAAGTTGAACATTGTTCACATTGTGTATTTCAGACATTATATATGTATGCATATAATTTAACACCTATTGTAATAGTAGTTTCCGAATAAGTATTGATGTTCCCTCTGAAGATGATCCGTAAGGATCGAAACATGTAGGGATGATGAGTTTTCAAGTGATAAAACTTAAATAGTCACAGTGGACGGTGTTGTTTTTGTCTTTGTAACTGTTAGTGTGACGGACCAGAATAAAACAAATAAAAAAAAAAGATCTAACTTGTTTGCCACCTGCTTTCATGTTGGTATATTTTCGGTTTATTCTTCGATCCTGCAGAAAGAGGCGATATTTTCTTCCGAAACGCCGGTTGACTTTTTACGGACTACACGGCGTTATATTCCAGATGTTCGCACTCTTCGAGGAAACTTGTTTAACGATAGAGAAAGACAGTAGAGATAAGGCTACCCCTAACTAGGCCAGCCACGTTCATTCCATGATATCTACTGTATAATAAGTGCACTTACCGGGTATTTCCTTGTTTCCAAAAATTAGTACCACTCCCCCACATAGGCACGCTTACTGTGCATATCTACTAGTCCATCACTACAGTGGCAATATGACGCCATTGTCCTAGAATTCTTTTCTGCGGTAGATTAACTCTTTAGGGTCGAATGGGTTCTGATAGATTGTCCACCATCAATCCGCGCCCACTTAGCGAGCTTTATTTGTGTTCAATTAGCGTAGTGACTAAACAAGTTTCGGAGTTTCTTCCTTGGCAGCGTTTTCGAAACTAATAAATTCATGGTGGGCTATTATTTCAGTCGATAATGAGGTAACAGGTGTGTTGGGTACAAAATGAGATGAACAAGGAAGAAGGGAGAATTTATAGTTTGCCAAATAATACTTTATGAAGGGGTGTTTGTTCCGGGAAGTGAATAAAACCTCAAGAGTTAAAATGCTCCTATGATCCGGGAAAGTTCCGTAAACACAATTGCAGATTCACGTAATATCGAGGCCGATTTCACAAAAATTGCATGGTAAATAAACGACAAAGAACGGGCAGACTTCAAATAATCATACGTTCGAATGTACTATCATCATCATTATTATGTAAACTACCTACAGTTCAAATATTTGGGAACGACTATAACAAATCGAAGCCGGTCACGGTAGCCGAGCGGTCTAAGGCATGCACTGTCTTCGCTCGCTCGGAAGCCGGGATCGTGGGTTCGAATCCCACTCAGGGCATGGATGTTTGTGTGCGTTTTTCTGTGTTTGTCTACAGGTAGAGGCCTTGCGACGAGCTGATCACTCGCCCAAGGAGTCCTACAGAATGTGTAAGATCTAGTAAACCGAAGTGAAACGGAGAGTTTCATGGAGGTAGGCCTAGGCCCAAATTTGGGCTGTAGCGCCACAGAAAAAAAAAATAAATCGAAACCTGATCCAGGAGGAAAATAAGACGAGATTGTACTCGGGTAATGCTTGCTACCATTCGGTCCAGAAACTTTTGTCTTCTGGTCTGCTGTCTAAAATCATACAAAACTATAATTTTGTCTGTGGTTCTGTATGGGTGTGAAACTTGGTCTGTCATTAAGGGAGGAACAAAGACTGACGGTGTCTGAGAACAGGGTGCTGAGAATATTTGGACAGAAGAGAGATGAAGTGACAGGAGGTTGGAGAAAACTGCATAATGAGGAGCTTCATAACTTGTACTTTTCTTCAAGTATAAGTAGAACGATCAAGTCAAGAAGAATGAATGGCCGGGATATGTAGCACGCATGGGATGAAGAGGAATGCATATAGGATATTGGTGGGAAAGACAGAAGGAAACAGGTCACTGGGAAGACCAATGCGTAGGTGGGTGGACAATATTAAAATGCATTTAGAGAGAAAGGATGGGATGGTATGGATTGGATTGATCTGACTCGGTAAGTGGGGCTCCTTGGACGAGTAATCAGCCCGTCTCAAGGTCGCTACATACACATAGGATAAAACAGACAGCATAAACACACCCACAGACATCCGTACCTTCAGTGGGATTCGAACCCACGTTCCAGCGTTCGAGCGAGCAAAGACAGTTCATGCCTTAGACCGCGCGGTCACTGTGATCGGACAGTGAACTAAGACATTAAAATTGTATGCATGCTACATGCTTCAACATTGGTAAGTCGGTAAACCGCACATAGAGCCTAAGCCAAACAGCAACCTACACTCTGGGGCAAGCCAGACGGAGCACATTACAGTGGCGTTTGCAAATTTGCAATTTTGGTTTCAAATTTATCTCTGAGATGAAATGTTTCAGCCACCAGTCCACTGTTTCTACAAATCAAAACGAAACGGTGTAGCCTATACAGGCTGTAAAAGTATAACCCTCTTCCGGGTGAAATACAGTTCTAATTATCGTCATGGGCAGGAAAGCAATTAACTAAGCATTATTGGCAGTACATTTCGATGCTTTCATTTAACGCAATGATAGCGGAAACACTATGGGACGTCCCATCAAATCAACCAGTATACTTATTTCGAAATGTCAATTCAACTGAATTCGTGGAGATGTTAATTTAATTTTGGGTATAAAATAACTGCCAATGTATAAACAAGATCTGAGATTTCTGATGCTAAATTTAACAATCATATGACATAACAATGTAACCACACAATAAAACTACGATATTCACTTAAATGTTGTTAGTCCAACATTACAATATTATTACGTTAGTACACCAGATCAGAGCTAACCACACTATAAGATAAAAACATAATTATAATACAATGAAATGCAGCAAACTCCATCAATTCATGCTTTGACCGGAAACAGTACAGTGACTAGACAAGCTGGCCAATATAATTCCTACACAGTGTGTCTTTGTCTTACTAAGATATTTTATTAGGTCCATTACAGCACAGAAAACGACGCCTACAACAATTCTTCGTTGCCTCGGAAACGTCTTCACCGAGTTGTTACCTAGCAACGATAGAGGGAAACACAGACAGACCACAAATTCACCTTTGATAAAGACACGGACAACATAGAAAATGACATGTCCAACAATATCGCTACTTTTGCGTGTATCTGTTGCACCGTTAACATGCTTGCCGTGCCGTTGCGTAGGGCCGAAAAGTGATAAACTTAACCGTTTCCTAGCACAAGAATGAGGGATACACAGACTAATGGGAGAGATTCATGAAATAGGCCACTGAGATGGGCTCAGTTACCATGATATCCATACCAAGTTTCATAAAGATTGGTTCAGATAGTAAAAAGTTATTTGTGGGGTGTTTACACAGACACAAGCAGAGAAAAGATGGAGATCGCATAAGCCTACTTGAGGAAAGTAGGATAAATTAACAATATGTAGTTGAGAAATGCGTATAGGATATTGGTGGGAAAGCCAGAAGGAAAGAGACCACTGGGAAGACCAAGGCGTAGGTGGGTGGACAATATTAAAATGGATCTTAGAGAGATAGGATGGGATGGTATTGATTGGACTGATCTGGCTCAGGATAGGGACCAGTGGAGGGCTCTTGTGAACACGGTAATGAACCTTTGGGTTCCATAAAATGCTGCGAAATTCTTGAGTAGCTGCAGAATTGGCGGCTCCTCCAGAAGGGTTCAGCACCATGAGTGAGTGAGTGAGTGAGTGAGTGAGTGAGTGAGTGAGTGAGTGAGTGAGTGAGTGAGTGAGTGAGTGAGTGATGAAATCAAGGAAGATGAGGTGGCTGGATCACGCAGAAGCCACAACAGAGAAGGGAAATCTGTGCAAAAAATGTTGTCTGCTGACTTGAATAGATGAAATCATCTCGATGATCTTCGTAAAGATATGAGAACGTTACTATCGTTTACTTTAATGGATCTGGGTACGAAGATTGAGACTAGATCCCGCTAGCTCGGGACAGGATCTACTGGTTAGCTCTTGTAAACACCGTAATAAACATCTGGGTTCATAGTAGGTGGAGAATTTCTTGATTAGATTTGCAGGAACGAATGTGACCCGTGGAATTATATTTCACAGGAAATGCATCATTTCTATCGACTGCTAATTCAACTCACCAATTATTGACTTGAAGAATCGTTAGACCTGTGTCTTGCGCCAACTGTTTCTTCTGGTCCTCCGAAGGGTACGGATGCTGAAATCAAAAGAGAAGAAAACATTTCAGAGAACAGTCAACTGAAAAAAAAAAACACTCAAAAACACTTAGCCTATATTTCTCTAATCAGGCGTGACATTTGTAGGGGAAAAAATGAGTGGAGAATTGGAAATGAAGATTCCTGAGAACGGAGTAAACAGGGGTTGGACGTTTCTAATGGGGGACACTATGAATAGGGAAGAAAGTTTTTGAAACCCAAAAGAAAAGGCATAAAAATAGCATGTCAATGGTATGGAAACACGATACACGCTCACTTCTTCTATTTGACGGATATCAAAAAACATTCATCAAAAGACCGCTTCAACCCTAATTGGGCGAGATTTAAAAAAAAAAGATTTATGTTTCGTCGCTGGAATAATAATGAAATTTTGTGTAGACAGCTAACAACGATAATTAGGGTTGTGGAATCACATATGAACTTCACCTAGACGAGAGGATATGATTTCCGCGGAGACCAGAAAAAAAAAGGTTTTCATTACAAAACCCAACACTCTGCATAGCAACACATGCCAGGGTAACAGGATACGCCTAGAAGCTCTATTTAGGCAGATTGCACTGACTTGGACTTTCCCTTCTTTTTCTCGCCTCACTTCGAAGAAAACTAACAAATGGTGCAATTATAGGCGTCCATGACAACGGTGCGGTATCATGGTATGCTAAACTTCCCTGGATATTCTAAAGTCGTAATATTGAACTAGCGTCAAAAAACTGACGTCGACATCAAATAAGGTTCTCAAGCGAGGATACTTATCGTGAATTGGTACGCCTGACTCAGTGGTGCCATATCAGATTCGCATTACGAAGGTCCCGGGTTAGAATCTTGCCATGGACAACGGCTATTCTGAGATTGTTCGTGCTTATTCTTACTGTTTATATATGAATATCAGACAAAATAAGGGCCACGCGGTAGAGTAGTTGGTTGAGGTACTGTGATACAAATCGGAAGGTCGCGGGTTAGATTTTGGATGAAGTCGCTGGATTTTTCAGTTCACCTAATCCTTCCAACCGCACTATGGCCCATTAGTCGACACAGCCTCTAATAGAAATGAGTACCAGGAATCTTCCTGGGGGTAAAGGGCGGCCGGCGAGTAAGGCTGACAATCTCTCCCGCCATCTGTTAGCCGATTATCTAGAAAATGTGAGAGCCTCGAAGTCTCACAACCCTGTGGACTTCCACGGCCTGTTATAGGGATAGTTTTACCTTCTTATCTTTACTAGAAAAAATATCTTAAACTGACACCACCATTCTCATCCGTACAGACTGATCATTCACAGTCGCTCTATGAACTGACACTACACAAAACTGTGGCTCGAAGCAAGCAGAGAAACAGGCCAAATATAAAAAACGGTCGACGGCTGTAATACGTACATCGCTTTTGTAACATCAGATGCAAATAATTTTAAAAACCTAATTAAACTACATCGGTGGTATCTTCAGGAAAATAACATTGTGCGCATTACGGGCTCAAAGCGCGAAATGACGACTTTATCGATACTGGTTTAGCGGTCGGCTGGATTATATTGTAACCAACAATATCCTAGACAGCAACAATCAGTTTCGGTTCCAAGGTCACTAATATACCAAGAAGCATGTCCAATACGTACCTCTGCTCTCGACTGTTAAGATTTCTATCATATTAAAAAAATATTCCAATATCATTTTGTTGTAAACTGCAACGCAATATAAGGCACCGCAAAGAGCAGGAAAAGCGCGTCTACGATAATGAAGCAATTACTCCCTCTCCACCCTCACCCTCCACCCCAATCCGTTAGTCGTATCGCTAGAAAACAGCCAGCAAAGCAATCATGGTAATTGCGCGGCAAGGAGACTCCTGCCTGCCGGCCGTTCGGGCGCCCTGTATGAGAAAACCGCTTGATTCGCAATTGTACTATGCCATCTAATCCCAAACAAAACAATGGCCATAGAAGCTGCCTCTTCTTGTTCCCCCCCCCCCCCCTTNTGTTCTTTTACACCTTTAAAACTAACCGTAATCTGTATATGTAGCCCTACTTCCTCGTTTCTGTGTTCCCCACGCTTCGTACATTTTGATTCCCTAAACAAAATGGCCGTCAACATCAAGATTACAATCTCTGGTAACTAGACACTCCTACTTGCCAACACGCAAGAGCCAACGTATTAACAAGAAAAACATATTAATTTGTCAAATATTTTTCGTCTATTCCATACCAAACTGATCATCTATTTCATACATTTCGGTGATCTGAGACCCGGCATCTCCCGGTGCCAGAAACCTATCCTTGTCAAGTAATGAGTAATTTTATGGAGGGGAGAAGAGCTCATGTCTTAATTCAGACTCATACCCAGTTCCTTCGAACAGACCCCAGGTGTCAACAGTAAAGTCTGCCACACCTGATAATTCTGAGATGGTGCAATCCAGCTCGAATCCTGTCAGTCGATTTCTCTATGATTAACATCACCATGCCTTTTTCTTCTTCTTCGTCCAAGTGACTTACCACCAAGAGGTTTTCCTTCCAAATAATCTGTGTGTATATCTTGTTTCAAACACAAATGAGTCCATATGTTTGTAAAGCCTTCGACTCGTCTCCTCGCGAAACTGTTTTAAAGTTTAGAAATCCAGAAACTAAAACTGTAAATATTTATCGACTACATAGAGTTCGTATTTGCCATGGCAGCATTCTGTACTTAGAAGTGTTACGGAGAAGGCAGATTCAGGAAGACCCAACAACTGAGAAAATGGGGGAATTCTAAATTCGCAAAAAAAAAAAAAAACGCAAATGGGAAGAAGCAAAATCAGAATAAAACAACATAGAACACCGGAAGAGATGACGTCGTCCACAAACCCATCACAGGCAATCTTTTTTTTTTCTATTTTTGACAGCAACTCAACTAAAAAAAAATACGTACCCGGCTTACAAATAAAAGGATTTCCCCATTGCTGCTGCTCTGAGCATGGAGGGATACACATGTCAAAATGACGTGATGTTCGTTAGTTAAAATAATAATAAAAACGGCTATTCTCAGCAAAACGCCAGCCCCAGCGGAGAACGTGCCATTATCAGCTTGACATGCAGACGCGCGGTATCACATTGGGGCGGACTGCAGTGCGTGCCCAGCAGCGCCAGTGCTGCACGGGCGGGAAGTTGGCAAATTAGTACTACCAGTACTGCGTTCTGGATCATGATGGGCGGGAAGAGATGTTAGTGACAGGCCGTCAAGAGGTGTCTTTCACATGTTATTAAGGCCACACGATGCAAAATGTTGGGACAAGGGGCCCAACAATACGATCAATGAAGGCATTGTCCCCCATCAGCAGGTCAGTTGACAACTATTGAGTCTGCTAATAGGCGGCAGTAGCAATGATGTATTTTGTTATGCCTACATGGACACAGCTCTGTACATGCATCTTTTCAAATAGACCTGAATATGTTACAGGGCGACGTGGAAAACTGAAAACGCAAATGAAATGACTGTACGCACGCGGTCCCCACAATTACAGTTTCCACTGCGATGTTCTATTCAGGTTCCATATAATTTATTTAATTTTTTAAAGCCAAATGGTTCATTAAGTACCACCAGCTTTAAAGCACCTAAACTCTGCATTCTGCCCACAGAATGTATTTGCGTGTTTCGTATTCTTCTCAAAATAAACAGTGATTGTTTCCCTAAACAACATTAACCGTTTGACCTTTGCAGCGGTGACGTATATGTTTCCTGTGAGGTACGAAATAACCATTTAAATAGTATTCAGACGAAATTCAGTCTTTAATCAAAGTCCAAGTTACGTTACGATCGACGGCCAGTCGGCCAGTCTGTCTTGGTGTCAAGCTGCATCTGGAGCCCAAGACCAGATTTTTTATTACTGCCAGCCAGTTGCGGGTTTGCTTATGTAGGGCGCCCTCTCTGACGAGAGGACGTGTCTGTCGTTTAGAGCGCAGGTAGTCCTGACGTTTCCAGAGTCGTCAGGCAGCAAATATTGTCCTGAGTCCCGTGGCATTCGGAACCAACAATCACTGTGCTGGCAAGGGCCAGCAGTAACTTAGCAGTATGTGAGTCAGTCTTTAAAGGGTTAAATCTAGTCTGTGCTAGTCACCCCATGATGGTGGAATGATCACGAGTAAAATTAAAAACGGCAGAAACAACTTAATGCATGCAGTTCAGCTAAATATTATTTAAAACTTCAGTTCCTCTCTCACACAAAATGCTTCGTCTCTGTTACAAAGATTAAAACTGGTTTATACTGCATAAGGCAAAATGGCTGCTTATCCTGACAATCATATTGTGTCCTATTTGCCACATGCAGGAAAGGTTGAGCCACTGAAACTGCCGTTTCTGAGTAATACACACACCAACAATGGAACGACGGGGTTATGCCACCTGCTTCTAGGCAACGGCTAGGTAAACACACTTCCGCGCAGGCGCAATGACGTGAGGCTGCAACAGTACTTAGCTATCACGTGTCTTGTCTTTTGTGTGTAGTCCGCGCTACGCAACAGTAGAACTGTGTTTTCTGTGTTGTCCGTGCCGCGGCTATATAACACGAGTCAGCTTGCAGCTAAGAAAAGTCCAAGTAAGTTTCTTACTTGAGGTCCCAGGGTGATTGAACAAGAAATGGCAAGAAGACTTCATAGTGATCTGAAGTCCTAGTTCCTGTGTTGAAATCCGTTGCTAGAAGACGACTAATGGAAACTTAGAAACTTAGTGCGTGTGCAACGCTGAACTGCAAATTGTGTAAATCTGCGATAGCGCTGTATTAATTGTAATTATGACAAACTGTAATCTGGGTGCTAATAAATCCAATCATCCGAGCCAGAACCAGTTATTTCCGTCACGCGTTACCCCCATATTCGTGACAATATTAAGATCATAAGTAACGTCTCTTGCTAAAATCCAAGGTTTTAAGAGGTGGTTCATACGTGGTATAGTCATTAAGTTCGTGGAATGTGGTTTTATCGCATCATATTACAAGGTATTCAAATGCACTTACGCAGATCCACAT